AGTCACCAAATCCATTGTCTCTCACAATTAGTGAAACAGAATAAGCAAATGCATGTGTCTCCTTAAGTCTGGAAAATAGTTCACACTATGGGTTTTCAATACTCCCCAAGCTTCTAGAAGAGGTTTGAATAACTGGAGAAATTTCAGTAACTGTAGGTATGGGCAAATTGGAAAGCCTATTCCAGATACTTAAACAATTCACCCTTATACTTCTGCTGCTGTAGAACTACTTCTGGTACCCAAATCTGTATTACTTGGGGTTCCCAAGAGGAAAAGAACTTATAGAATTTTATTTATATAAATAAAATTATATATATGTATATGTATATATATATATATATATATATGATTTATTAGAATGGCTTGCAAGCTGTGGTTCAGCTCATCCAACAATAGCTGTCTACCAACAGAAGGTCCAAGAATCCAGTAGTTGTTGAGTCCACAAGACTGGACATCTCAGCTGGTCTTCAGTACACACCGGAATCTCAAAGTAGGCTCTAATGCCAGTGAAGGAATGGACTTGTCTGTGAGAGCGAGAGCAAACAGGCAAACAAAGAGCAAGCTTCCTTCTTCCATGTTCTTTACATAGGATGCCAGCAGAAGGTTTGGCCCACATTAAAAGTAGATCTACCCACCTCAAAAGATCTGGATTAGAAGTTGGTCTTCCCATTTCAAATGATTTAATTCATAATAATAATAAACCCCTCACAGGTGTGCCCAGCTGCTTGGGTTTTAGCTAATCTCAGGTGTAGTAAAGGTGACAACCAAGGATAAGCATCACACAAGTACTTTGTTGGGAGTGGATCCAAATGGAGAGGAAGAAGGGAGGAACTAGGGGCATCGGAGGGAGGGGAAAGTGTAATCAGGATACATTGTATGAGAAAAGAATCTTTCAATAAAAAGGAAAATTATTAAACATAATTTATAAATGGAAAAAAGAAAATACTTGCATCTACATTTATCAGGGAGATTGGACAAAAATTGTCTTTTCTGACCTCCACATCCATGAGTATGCCAACACACAACAAGTAAATAAAAGCACTTTTTTTATATTTTCCTTTGTTTTTATGTCTTTATCTGGTTTGGGTATGATACTAATGCTGGTTCTGTAAGAGAGTTTGGTAGTGTTCTTTTCTTTCCTACTTATGGCTAGCTTCAGAATTGGTGTTAGCACTTCACTGAAGATCTGGTAGAATTCACCAATGAATCCATCAGGGCCTGAACAGTGCTTTGTTTGCAGATATTATTATAACTATTATCATAACTATATATTGGCTATTATTATTTGGAGATATTATTACTATTGTCAACATTATTATTACATCACCCTCACTGTTCCTAAATAGATCTGTTTAGATTATTTATCTCATCTGGGTTTGACACTGGTAGATCATATACACCAATAAACTCATCCATTACTTTAAAAGTTCCAGTTTGGTGGAACGTATGTTTTTAAAGAATATACTTGTGAGTCTCTAGCTTCTGAACCACTACTCTTTTCATCTCTACTTTTATTAGCATGAGGCTTTGCTTTCTGTTGGTCAGTCTGGGTAAGGGTTTGTTGACCATATTTACAAAGGACAATTTCTTTGTTCCTTTGATTCTTCACAATGTTTTTTTTTCCATTTCCATTTGATTAATCATTGCCCTGATCTTAATTATTTCTGACTACCAATTTGGGGTTTGGCTTGATCTTGTTTTTTCCAAGGCCCTAAAATGTATCATTGAGTTATTTATGTTAGAGTGCTCTGATCGCACAATGTAGGTATTTAGAGCTGGAAATGACCCCCTCAGACTGCTTTCACTATAAGTGTTAGCATACTGTGCTTTTATGATTACATATTTCACTTAGAAAATATTCCTAAAATTTGATTTTTTAAACTTACAGTTTAAGTTTTCTTAGCAAACAGCAAATCAAAAGGTTGAGTCCCCTTTTCCTTCTGTTAGTTTGTCTTGTCTAACTTCAATGTGGTAGTTTTTGTTTCATCTTATTACATTCCATGTTGTTGTATTTCATTATTATCTCTTAGAAGCCTGTTCTTTTTCTAATGAGAAGCAGAAAGTGAATTCAGATTGGAGTATAGCAGGAATCTTTAAAGGTCTTATTAATAAAAACAAACCCAAAGCCAGTTATTGGGGTGAGTGCTGGAAGATCAGAGAAACAGAACAGGCCACAGCTACTTTACCTTGCCAATCCCTCAGCTGATCCTGTTTCCTCAAACTAGAAGCCTCTGTGTCCTCATCCAGAATGAATCTCAGCTGAACTACTGCTCAAAAGCCTAAAAGCTTAACCTGCTCTAGTTCCTGGTTTTCACGCCTTATATATCTTTCTGCTTTCTGCCATCACTTCCTGGGATTAAAGGCTCACTTCCTGGGATTAAAGGCTCACTTCCTGGGATTAAAGGCATGAGTCATCATGCCTGGCTGTTTCCAGTGTGGCTTTAAATTCACTGCCTTAGGAATGCTAGGATTAGAGGTATGTGTGCCACCGTTTTCTGGTATCGATGTCTATCTAGTGGCTGTTCTGTTCTCTGACCCCAGATAAGTTTATTAGGGTGCACAATATTTTGGGGAACACAATATCACCACATTGGAGGGGACAGGGAAGGATCTTGGAGGAGTAGAGGGAGGGAAAACCATAATCATGACATATTTTGTGAGAAAAGGGTCTATTTTCAATAGAAGGGGGGAGTCAAGGGCTGAAGACAGAGCAAAGACAGAAGAAATGACTGTGCAAAGATCTAGGCTGAGCCGCAAGCTTGGTGCCTGTGGTGGTTTGAAAGAAAATGGCCCCCAAAGGGAGTGGCCCTATTAAGAGGTGTGGCCTTGTTGGAGGAAGTGTGTCACTGTGGGGGCAGGCTTTGAGGTCTCTTTTGCTCAAGCTTCCCTCAGTGTGACAGGCAGTTGACTTTCTGTTGCCTGCAAGATGTAGTAAGCACTCTCAGCTCCAGCGTCACATCTGCCTGCATGCCGCCATACTCCCCTTCATGAGCATATGGATTGAATCTCTGAACCATAAGTGAGCCACCCTCAATTAAATGTTTTCTATCAGGGTTTTTTGGAGGTTCACCCCTTCAAACCTCTTTCACAGTCCAAAGAAGGTGCTGCAACCAGTGAGGAAAATCTATAGGATCTGAGGGCAAAGGGATGAATCAGCTCACACATGACTTCTTCTTAGCATGTCTCCTTATTCTTCTCCCATGCTGCAAAGTGTCCAGTTCATATACACACACAAAACAAAGGCAATTCTCTGGTAATCACAAAGTTACAGACCTAGAATTTCTCTCAGGGTTATAAAGCATATAGGAGACGTCCCGAGTTGACACTGTCAGTCTTTTTATGGTTAGAGCTGGGGATCAACTGAGGAAGGACCAGGAATCAAGCGAGCTTGGCCATCCCTTTGTCTCTGAAGGTCCCAAATGTGATCTATTTGAAAGAATCCTTTCCTAACCACATGTCCTGCCAAATGGGAAATAACAGCAGGGAGCTGGCTTCTAATGTTTATCTCAGGGAACAGAGTGGAGATTAGGCTGTGGGAACCAAGATTATTGACTAGGTGACTAAATTCTCTCACTGGAGGTCCATTGACTCGGGGAGGGGGGGGGGAGTCATTCAATGTACCAACAGATGGGAGAAATTGAACCCAGTAAAAGATCAATACACTGCCGAACTATGGGAATAAATCCCAAAGTTGTAATAGATGGGGAAAAGCTTATGGCTTCACACAAGAAATCTACAGCAGGAAACAGCCAATTCATTCAAAAGGCAATAACTCCAATACTTGCTGCAATCTTGGTTTAATCCTCCATCAGAATCCTTGATTCTGGTGGGTTGACTGCTGTGGGATATCTTTCTGTATGCTGTGAATATGTGTTGCTCTGATTGGTTGATAAATAAAGCTTCATTGGCCTATGGCAAGGCAGCTTAGAGAAAATCCAAGCAGATATACAGAGAGAAGAAAGGAGAGGAGTCTAGAGAGATGCCAGCACCACCAGGAGAAGCAAGATATGAAAGTACTGGTAAGCCACAGGCATGTGGCAACTTATAGATAAATAGAAATGGGTTAAGTTTTGTTTGTTTGTTTATTTGTTTGTTTGTTTGTTTTGGTTTTTCAAGACAGGATTTCTCTGTGTAGTTTTGGTGCCTGTCCTGGATCAAGCTCTGTAGACCAGGCTGGCCTTGAACTCAAAGAGATCCACCTGGCCCTGCCTCCCAAGTGCTGGGATTAAAGGCATGTACCACTGCCACCCAGCAAAATGAATTAAGTTATAAGAGCTAGCTAGCAAGAAGCCTGCCATAGGCCATGCAATTGGTAATTAATATAAGCTTCTGAGTAATTATTTTATAAGTGGCTGTGGGACTGTGGGCTGGGCAGGACCTGAGAAAACTTCTGAATACAGTTGACCTTGTAAATGACAGCTGAATTCTCACTGCATAATTCTGCTGCCTGCAGAAGTTTTCTTTATAAGAGTTGCCATGATCATAGTGTCTCTTCACAGTAATAAAAACCTAAGATAGCACCTTCTTCAGTTAAGTATTCCTGCGAGATGATGATGGGTACCTGTGGTGATATTGTGTTCCCCAAAATATTTGCACCCTAATAAACTTATCTGGGGTCAGAGAACAGAACAGCCACTATATATAGAGGCAAAAAATGGTGGAACACACACCTTTAATCCTAGAATTCCAGAGGCAGAGATCTGCCTGAATCTCTGGGAGTTCAAAGCCACACTGGAAACAGCCAGACATGGTGACACATGCCTTGAATCCCAGGAAGTGATGGCAGAAAGCAGAAAGGTATATAAGGCGTGAAAACCAGGAACTAGAGTCTGGTTAAGCTTTTCGGCTTTTAGCAGCAGTTCAGCTGAGATCCATTTGGATGAGAACTCAGAGACTTCCAGTCTGAGGAAACAGGATCAACTGAGGAACTGGCGAGGTGAGGAAGCTGTGGCATGTTCTGCTTCTTTGATCTTCCAGCGTTCACTCCAATACCTGGCTCTGGGTTTGATTTAATTAATAAGGCCTTTTAAGATTCGTGTTACAGGTACCTGGATCAGAGCCAAAGAAAGACAAGAAAAAGAAAAATTGTCAATGTCACAAGAAACATTTATGCACAACTTTATGCACAGGTTTCCCATTGGCTCAGCAACACTAGGAAAATAAGCCCCGGGAGAGAGGGAGAGAGGGAGAGAGAGAGAGAGAGAGAGAGAGAGAGAGAGAGAGAGAGAGAGAGAGAGAGAGAGAGAGAGAGATGCACCTGCATGAGATTATCTGTACCATGTGTGCATGAGCCTGTGAAGGTGAGAAAATGGTTTCAGGATGTCATGAGCTACCAGGTAAGTGCTGGGAAATAAATTCCAGGATCTCCACAAGAGCACCAAGTGCTTTTAATTGCTAAGCCATCTCTGCAGACCAAGCAGTCCTTGTTTTCTTGACTGACTACACCAGTTCTCCTAATGCAGTACAATGAGAGGCATTAGCCTTGCACAGATTTTGCCTTGGCAGGCTCATAAATAACTAAGAACCTTTTAACTACCTAGAACATTCTAATCACTACATTTACACTGCTCTCTGGAGTTTCTAAAGCAGTTGCACTGGCCTCTTTGTTTGGGTGATCGTGCAAGACATTAGTTTAGAAACATCTAGCAGGGAGTTAGAAATCCTTGGTCAACACTGAAAACTTGTGGTCAGTTAGCCCAATGAGGTGTTAACAAAATATGAGCAATTAGGAGACTGACTCTCTCCACTGAGAATTTTGTGACAGAACACTACAGTCTACACGTAGTTCAGCCCTGGTCTCAACTAATAACATGAGGAGCAATTCACAGTGAAAATCAGTTAGTAAAAGTGGTATCCTGTGGTCAGACAGAGGGAGGCTCCACATCCTTCTCCCCAGAGACCAGATGAGAAAACTCTTTCCTAAAACAACCTAGAAAAACAACACAGAACACCCCAGCACCCATCCCCAGAACTCCCTGACACTTTCTGGTGACTAAAATCATGAACATGTGGAGCCAAGTTCAAGACACAGGTCTTGTAGGTTCTTACCATCTCCAAAGAACATAAGCTGCGGGAAGCAGTAGAAGAGAGAAGGCCAAAAAGGCAAAGTGCACATCCTTGGCTCCTGGAGAGAGAGGTAGAGAAAGATGTGCTGTAGAATATTATTTTAAGGTGCGTTACTTTTGTTTATGTTGCATTTGTTTAACTCTGTCAAGCTGTGATAATTTGCCTGCCTAAAATACCTAGTGGTCTAATATAGCTGAATGGCCAATAGTGAGGCAGGAGAGAGAAATAGGCAGGGCTGGAAGGCAGAGAGAATAAGAGAAAAGGGAAGAGAAAAAAGAGCAGAAGAAGACAGAGCAAGAGAACAAGAATGCTAGGGACCAGCCACACAGCCACACAGCCAGCCACGGAGTAAGAGTGAAAGTCAGATTACAGAACTAAGAAAAGGAAAAAGCCCAAAGGCAAAAGGTAGATGGGATAATTTAAAGTTAAGAAAAGCTGGCTAGAAACAAGCCAAGCTAAGGCCAGGTATTTACAATTAAGAATAAGCCTCCATGTGTGATTCATTTGGGAGCTGGGTGGCAGGCCCCCCAAAAGAGTAAAAAAACAAATAACAACAAAGATATTATGATGGTTAATACTGTCCATTTGACACAACTTAGAATCACCTAGGAGGCAATTTTCTGTACACATCTGCAAAGATTCTCTACATTAGGTTAACTGAAGTAGGAGGACCCACTTTTACTGTAGATGACAGTGTTCCAAGGGTTGGGGTCCTTGACTGAGCACTCAGTGTCCCTTGTGTCCTGACTGCACACAAGCTGATGACCACCTGCCTCAAGCACCTGCTGCCATCATTGATCTGCCTTGGTAGACTGTATCTTTAAATAAGTCAAAAATAAACTTTCCTCATTGAGTTCCCTTTTTAGGAGTATTTCAAGACAGCAACAGGAATAGTAATTAATGCAAACACTAAGAAAAAACCTACTGGCAAGGGTCAAAGATACCATAGGACTTATGCTAAAATCTGTATAGCAAATGCCATTTCTTATCAGAGATCTACTACCCAGCCTCTGATAGGTATTAGCATTCTTATCACAGACATCCTTGAACACCAGAGTATTGAGCTGAAGTACAGTATGATGATGTGCATGGTGGTACACACCTGCCAGCCTAGCCCAGAAGGGATAGAGCTAAGGGATTTGTGAGTTCAGACCAGTTGGGTTACAAACTGACACATTGTGAAAGAAAGA